TATTTGAACCTTATAAGCTGAGTTGGACCCAAACGTGAAAACACAGCCTTTTGAGCGAGTAAGAACTAAAAAGAAAAGCCTCTCATTGTGCTATTTAATCACTAGTATAAGCCTTTAAGAAATGCCTCCACACAAAGTTTTCTCCCTTTTCATTCGTCATTTTCAAAGGCCTTAGAAGTTTACATCTGGTGTCCAAAGAATAACAACAAATTCAACAAAATTCTTAAAAATTGTATAACCCATGAAATGAGATATCGCACTTTAAAAAATCACTTATTTTCTCAAAATCAAGAACAATTTCATGTATACACAGAAAATCAGACATAGTGGGTTAACATGGACACCCAAAAATCTCAATGTTATTCAGCAAAATCTCAATAAATAAAAAATTTCAAAATAACAGATATAAGAAAACCCTAAACTAACATAAAACTAATTAAATGCAGTAAAGAACTAACCTTTGGTCTTGACTTGTGATAATAACAAGTTTAGTCTTCCAATCTGACTTTGAATCGACGAGTACTATAAATTCAAATAAGCTTATTATGAACAGATTTTTCTTGAAACAAGTGGGTTAACATGAACACACAACTAGTTCAAATTTTTCTCGAAAGATCGAAGGAGAAGAGTATGAACAGATGGGGGAATTCGGGGGAAAGTTGGTATGAACTTTCCTCTTTTAATTTTTAATGGATATAATAATAATAAATTAAATAAAGGAAAAGAAAATAAGATAGGGTCCTTTGTTGGTAGATATAGCGCGTGTATATACTCAAAGTATTATTCGTTTAGTTCATGATATGCGATAAATGAGTCGATTGACTCTGAAATTTGAAGGTTAACGATTTACATGGATTAAGATAAATGTGGAAGATGATCTAGTGAAAGTTAAATAGCAAAAATTCATACGCAGAGAATAAAACTCAAGAACAATAAAAGAAAATCGAAATAAATTTCATTTTTTATTATAAAAAGAATGTCGTTGCAGGGAATCAAATCCGAGGTACCCGCGTGACAGGCGAAAATACTTACCACTATACTACAACGACCAGTTGAAAGGTACCGTCAACTAATGTAAGTTCTCCAATGTTTTCTATTAATTATAGTAGCTAAAACATTCAATTGGATCTTTGTAATATATTTGTGTAAACGTGGTTTGGGGCATGACAATTTATAAGATAATTAAATATAAATAATTATAATAGTGATAATTAAGCTCTCATAATTGTATATCTAGATAAAATTCTTCAATTTAAAAAGAAAATTTTTTCATAAATAGCGACAGTTTTGAGCATAATTATCATTAGTAGCTATAATTTGCTTATTTATCATTTGTAGCTACTATTTTGGTTTAGTTATTATATTAGTCCGCTTACAGATTGTATTGGTTTGCTAATATCCTGTATCTATTTTCTAATAGCTTGTTTTTGTTTACTCAGTATTAGTGATACAACTTTATTAAAAAAATCACTTGTATCAAGTGTTACCAGCTTGTATCACTTGTATTTATTCGCTCTAATTTCACTTGTATTCACACATCGACAATGTAACTACAACTTCGAAAATCACTTGTACCATTTGTTATCAAGTTGTATCACTCGTATTCGTTTTGTTACACCCCGTAAAATTCTCGATACATAGAAGGCCTATTCGCATGTTGGTTAAGAGTTTTTGAATGTCATACATGCTAGGAAAAGGCCCGGGAAAAGACCGAATGAGAAAATCCGTCGAACCATCGCGGAAGGAGCCGGGGCAGACCCCTCCGCGATGGCAACGTGTCACGGAGGGAGGGCCTCCGCGTTGGCTTCGTGACACGTTGGCCCTGTCCAGGCTCAAGTATATAAGCCTCCAACTTCGGTTTAATTCATTAAAAACTTCATAATTGCCAGAAAACGCGAGAGAAAACAGAGGGCGAGATTTCTTATAATTTTCGTTCGATTATGCCGTCAAACGCGGTTCAAACTCAAATTAACCTCAGATACCGAGGTATTTAGCAGCAAGGAGCATTTCTATGGATTTAGTTTCGTGAAATTCGGCCGGCAAATCATCGCGCTACCGAGCTAAGGTAAGTGGAATAGCTCCAAATTAGTGTCAATGTACTCCTAGCCTTAAAGTGAATATTTCTCCCTTCTGGACTTTC